AGAGCCAAAGTAGGCTCGTTGTCGACAGCTTTGATCCTAGTTCTGCGGCGTTGTCTGCTCTCTTGCTGAGGGTAGTCAGCTTTGCTTCGTTCTGAAAGAACAAAGATAAAATCAATGCGAGCCGCCGCGAACCGAATTGCCCACCGTCTGTCCGAAGAGCAGCTGTGGACCAAAGCATGAAATCTCGCCAGATTGTTCTCATATCTGGTGCATGCATTCTTGCCCTTAGCATGGCTACTGGGCAATAAGCCTGCAAATACCACTCCAGAACAATTCTTAGTTGAGTGGTAGCAGTTGCAGGCAAGTTGTACAACTCCTGCACCCCAATTGGGGTTTGTTGTGCTTCGGCCGTAGAAGGAAAACGTATCTTCTTGAGGTTCGAGGCCGGCTACACTGTGGTCCGTGGGCAGGATCTTGCCCGTAGCCAAAATTCCTGTGACCCCTTCTCTGGTAGTGGCATGTGCCCAGAGATGCCAGTTTTGCTGGGCCAGGGGTGGGCCGGGAAAACCTGTACACCTGAAACGGTATCCAACTACATTCTCTTCCACATCATGAAACAGTGAGGCACCTTCTTCGAAGTGTCTCTCATAATGAAGTCTGGACTGCAAAATGCAGTCAACGAGGCCGAAAAATTCTTCCTTGCCTATGGTGTTCGATGGCACCTGTTCTGGAAACAAACTAAGCAAAAACCGAGCACATCTTTGTCTCTCAGGGTCTTTGAGAGACGAGAAAGGGGCTGGTACTTGCGAGCCAGTGCCGCTCGGGCTGCATTGCTTCGCAGTGCTTGCCAGGGTGCCATGACCCACTGATCCGGAAACGGCGCAGTCAAAATTTGCTGACGATAGAAGAGGTACTGGCTCAGGGTGGTCATACCACCTGGAATATGATCCACTGCTGAAAATCCTGACAGCTGGATTTCCAGCTGATCCTCCACATCATTGATATTGGCAGACATGAGGCCCCGAAAAAATTGATCGTCAATCTGTTGCTGGCTTTCCGTTGGAGCCAGCTGGTTGGAAGTTGATGGCCCTTTCTTTGCGGGCTTGGCCTGCTTACCAGGGTCCGGGAGATCAGCTGCTGGGGCTTTCGTTTGTGGCCCCACTGGTTCCGGTGCTGTATTGGGCCTAGCCA